GGGCGCCTGGGGTAAATGTGCACTCAAGTTTTTAAATGAGGTTGGTGAGGAACTCATTGGGAAAACTAGAGACCCACGAGCAGCCAGTTTCCTGTTCCAGCGCCTCAGTGTCGCAGTTCAGAGGGGAAATGCGTGCTGTATCCTGGGTACGCACCCATCCTCCGAGGAGCTGGACGAGATCTTCGAACGCTGATTGTTTAATTGTTATATATTTTGTGTGTGTGTGTGTGTGTGTGTTCTTTGAAAACTGTAGCATTGCAATAATATATATATATATATATATATATATATATATATATATATATATATATATATATATATATATATATATATATATATATATATATATATATAGTGTATTTAAAGGTTACAAAACATACAAGACAAATGCCTAAAGGTTATGGATCTCTTGAAGCTCCTCCGGTTCCGGACAGGAACCGAGGACGCAGCAAGCATTTCCCCTCTGGATCGCTATACTGAGGTGCTGAAACAAAAAACTGGAAGCCCTTTGGTCTCTGGTCACGTGAATGAGCTTGAAACCCAATTCCTTGAGAAATCCCAAGGCACTCTTGCCCCTGGGGCCATGCGTCTCAGACGCTATGGGAACAAAGAGGTATTGATCTTCCAGTCGCCTGTACTTGAGTGATTTTGCTATTTCCCTGTGGTTGGCCGCCCCACCTGCTTGATCAGCTCCGAAGTATACATAGGTGTCAGCCAGGGTGGATACACATGTGTAGTCCCACACCAACTGTCTACCCTCCTTCCATGAGTATATGGTGATGCCATCAGGGCGAAGTGCGGGGAAATCCGGGTTTTGGACCCCTAGGATGCGAGGTTCTCTCTCCGCTGGGCACCTAGCTGAGACGAGGCTTCTCTTGATGATGTCATTGACCTCGTGTAGCAGTCTTGCAAGCCAGCCCTTTGTGCTTCCGCAATGCAACCCATGCAGTCCGTATTGGTCTGCTTCCACCCTGTTGCAAATACACTTATATTCAGTGTGAATTGGGGCACCAAGGCGGAGGGCCACTGCTACACGAAGGGATTCTGGATCTAGGCGCGTGCCCATTGCTGACATGGGTACTGCCAGGAGGAAGTCTCCTGCATGGGGGGCTTGCACTGCTCTGAGGCGGGCTTTCTCCTTGTCTGATGTTGCGGCGCTGAGCATGGCATCAGCTACTTTTTCCACTAGAGGGTGGTCCCAGCCGGACTGTTTGTGTTGTTTTATTGGCTCTATAATGGTTGCTGGGGCTGCAAGAACATCCCACTGATTTGAACATTCAGTGAAAGCAAGATCGTGTATTCCTGCTAAATCTCTCAGGGTTGCAGGTAAGATATCTCTGACGAGGTCGTGCGATGCGTGAGAGGAGGAAAGGAAGGCTGGTAGAGCAATTTGGGAGGCTGTGCGGACACAAAGGCCGCCGAGTCTTACAGGAAGGGTTGCTTGCTCCCACTGAAAGTCGTCCAATGGCAGGTTTCTTCACCAGCATGGACCTCAGAAGGGTGTCATACACATATATACACACATTATATTATATATTATTAAATATGACCGAAAAAGTAAGATTAATAATTCTAACACGAATTTTCTCAATCTTTCGTACATTACACTTCACTGTTGGAGGTAAATCAAAAATCACTTCTCCAAAATTCATTTTTATTTCTAGTCTGACGCGACACGGGCGCGTTTCGTAAAACTTATTACATTTTCAAAGACTTCACAAATACACAACTGATTAGAACGTATCTCTGATTTTATATCTACATTTGAGTGAGGTGGTAAGGGTGATGTGGCATTAACACAAGACAGAACAGGAGGGGATATTAATAGGGTATTAAAAGTATCAACACAAGACAGAACAGAAACAATGGGTATTGAATAGAAGTGTTTGTAGAAAGCCTATTGGTCCATATTTCTTGATGCTTCTATATTGGAGCGGAGTCTTGAGGTGGGTAGAATATAGTTGTGCAATAATTGGCTGTTGATTGCTGGTGTTGACTTCTTGATGTGTAGTGCCTCGCAAACGTCAAGCCGCCTGCTATCGCTGTTTCCATTGGAGAAGCCGTTTCATCGAAGACATCATAAGAAGGAAAGTGAAAAGCCATGCAACCTCTGAAGAGACAACTAACACAACACCTATACCCCCTATTAGACTATTTTACAGGAACTTCTTTTCCACAGCTCATAAAACGGAGGAAAGGGTCCTGAAAGATATTGTTAATAGAAACGTTATCCCTACAGACAAAAATCAGAGGATACAACTGACGATTTACTATAAAACCAGAAAAACGGCCAGCCTACTCATGAGAAACTCTCCAGACACAGAACAGAACGCTTTAAAAGAGACTAATGTCGTCTATGCCTTCAAATGCCCACTTGGGGACTGTAAGCTCCAAAAAACCCAGTATATAGGCAAGACAACAACATCTCTTTCTAGGCGTTTAACGATGCATAAGCAACAGGGCTCCATTAAGGAACATATAATCTCTTCCCATAACCAAACCATCGCCAGAGAAATCCTAGTAAACAACACAGAAATCATCGATAGATACAGCGATAGCAGGCGGCTTGACGTTTGCGAGGCACTACACATCAAGAAGTCAACACCAGCAATCAACAGCCAATTATTGCACAACTATATTCTACCCACCTCAAGACTCCGCTCCAATATAGAAGCATCAAGAAATATGGACCAATAGGCTTTCTACAAACACTTCTATTCAATACCCATTGTTTCTGTTCTGTCTTGTGTTGATACTTTTAATACCCTATTAATATCCCCTCCTGTTCTGTCTTGTGTTAATGCCACATCACCCTTACCACCTCACTCAAATGTAGATATAAAATCAGAGATACGTTCTAATCAGTTGTGTATTTGTGAAGTCTTTGAAAATGTAATAAGTTTTACGAAACGCGCCCGTGTCGCGTCAGACTAGAAATAAAAATGAATTTTGGAGAAGTGATTTTTGATTTACCTCCAACAGTGAAGCGTAATGTACGAAAGATTGAGAAAATTCGTGTTAGAATTATTAATCTTACTTTTTCGGTCATATTTAATAATATATGTCTACAGGAAAGACTGCTACCAAAATATACTAACATTATATTATATATATATATATATATATATATATATATATATATATATATATATATATATATATATATATATATATATATATATATATATATATATATATATATATATATATATATATATATATATATATATATTATATATATATATATAATAGGATCATTGTTAATATTTTATAGCCAGAATGTATATTGGCAACTCCTGGGTATTAGTACTAATTTTAGTACTGCCATCAGCAACTTAAAGCTATATAAATAAAAATGTAAATGTTTGTTCAAAATCTTAAATCTCAGAAAGGTCTTCACTAATTGCCTTGAAATTTTGACACAACATTCCTTTCGAATACGCGCGTGTTTTTATAAAGACTATCTATATGTGACTTATAGATGTCACACCTGTGACAGGTAAAAACATGTTTTTTTTTTTGCTTAACTGTGTTTTTCATGTAAGAGGGAAATCTTCGAAAGTTCTTCACGGATTGTTTTGAGATTTTGACACAACATTTCATTCAAATACGTGCGTGATTTTATATACATGTTATCAGGCCGGCCTCCAAACAAAGACCCAAAGTCTATTTCATGCACTCGCCAAACCCCCTGCTTATGAATGAAAAACGGTTTACACACGACTCAACTGATTTCGTTTGAACACTTCCGGAGCAAGTGCTTCACTGACGATTTTTGTTCGAACCACAACGCTGTAAATGCTTCACCCACGTACTACAAATACAAATAATCGCCAACAGAACCTAAACACCTAACCTAACCTAACCTATGCCTATATATGCACTGTCTGCTAATGTATTATAATATTGGCTTACATTTGAGAAATTCCCCTTTTGAATGAACTGCATGTTAAAATTTATGGATGCGTCTGTGGAGTCAACCACTGGATGTAATGGACTTGAGTCGAGGACGGATTGCTGCTATATCGATGTCACACCTGTGACAGGTAAAAACATGTTTTTTTTTAAGCTGTTTTTCATGTGAGGGAATGGAGGAGAGGACGAGGGTACAGGGGGAGGGTGGGGGGGGGGGGGGAATGGTGGAGAGGAAGAGGGGCAGGGAAGTGGGGGAGGACGAGGGGATGGGGGAGGGGGGAATGGTGGGGAGGACAAGGGGATGGATAAGTGGGAGATGCTGGGGAGGACTAGGGTACGAGGGTGGGGGGAATGGAGGGAAGGATGAGGGGATGGGGATGATGGGGAGGACGAAGGGACAGGGGAGTGGGTAATGGTGGGGAGGATGAGGGGCATGGGAGAGGGGGGAATGCTGGGGAAGATGAAAATGACGAAGGAGTGTGGGATGGTGGGGAGGATGAGGGGACAGGGGAAGGGGGAATGGTGGGGAGGGTATAGAGTTCTAGAGTCGGCAAACCAGACAATCTCTATATCTCCACAGACAATGGAACAGCAAGAAATATTGTATACCCACAAGCATTGTGAAATTAAACATTAGAAACATGCGCTTTCTCTTTTCTTTCATTCCCATTTAACCAGACTGAGCAACAGCAAGGCATGGCTGGGTACAACTAGAGTTTAAATAAAAAGTATGTAATATTAAACGATTTCTTTTAAAAATAGCTAAAACATGGTGGTTAAAAGGTATGAAAAACTGAGCGGGACAGTAATAGTTGGGCTCATTTCCTATAACTTAATGCATCTGTTCACCTAGCAGTAAGCAGGTACTCAGGAGTTAGTCAGCTTGTTGTGGGGTTGCATCCTGGACGGGGTCAGTTATTCAACCTTAACGGGGAAGGGGAAAGGAACCTCGATAAAAGCCTAACGTGTATAAATAAACTCTTGCTGCGTGTCCCTCGACTCAATGTATTATTATAAAACCAATGTCAAACATTTAAAAAAATAAATGAAAATGTCCACTTCAGTTCCACAATTCCTCAACGCAGCTGTGCGCGGGCTTGGAGCAGCTCTTCGGCAACACCACCGTGGCCGACCTCGGGGCGGGCCTGGGCAACTACGGAAGGTGCTTCCTCCGCAGGTCAGAGGGCATACTGAACCACCCCAACAAGGTGGAGATTGAAAATATCAACAAAGATTACAAGACTTTAATGACGCATGCAGGACTCTCCGGTACCCCACAAGTCATCAAATCATGGAACGGTAGGGTTATCTGGATATCATATTAGGCTTCAAGCCATCGGCAGGAAAGTTATCTCGCATCTTTTTTTTGTCTACATCTTTTCCACTGTCTCTCCCCTATGTGGCCCTTTTTAAAGTTTATTCTTTTCTATCTCTTAAATTTGCTCCATTCTGCCTTCACCTTTTTAATGGATCTCTCTTATTTAGTGATCCCGATGTCTCGTGCTGTTATCTCGTGTTTTGAAACACTCTTTTATATATCTAATAATGACGTTATCAAGCCATATAATGAAAACTGTTAGTGCCCTCGATTAGTAAGATGCCTCCAGGAAGGTTCATTAAATCTAGCATCTATGGCATTGTGTTCAATCCTATTTCTCTCCATGATTCAAGCACCTATGCTATTATGTCAACCCATACTAAGCCAAAGCTAAAACCCGGATGCTATGGCTTTTTGTCTGAACTTAACCCTCCCGAGTTTGAATCTTTACACTAGGGATGAAAAACACTTGAGGCCTAAATTGCAGAGTTTAACAATTATATATTTTTAAGAAGGCTTCAGCATGCTACTTGAATCATTATATACATATTTTATTTCACACAATATGAAATTCAACTTTCTGTTGTTCCTGCCATACAGTACAGAAGGTTAATAACAGGATTTGTAAGAACATTAAGGTAGTTAGAATGACTTCCAATATAACAATAAACAAAATGGTTGCAGTGAAGCCAGGTCAAAAAAACTTTTTGTTTTATATTGAATAATGCAATACTCAAGTGATTGTTTACAAGGTTCGTCACAGAAGTTAGTTACAGGTCCCCCTACAGGGACTGGTTTGATAATGACTAGGGAATTTGTTGAAACTGAATGTGTTGTTTCCTGCCAGAAACGCTTTGAGTAATAGTGGCTTTAGGAATTGTATGTATTAGCTCTATCTATATATCCATCAACTTTTGTATCTCACCTTGTATGTATGTACTTTACCTGAATAAATATTTGTATTTATATTTGTATTTGAAACCTTTTGTGTCCCTGTGTAGGATGGGATGGAGCGGCGAACATCGATGAGTTCACCAACGGGAGGATAGCGTCAGCGGACCTCTCCAACCCCGCGACCCTCGGGGGTCCCTTCGACTGGGTGATGAGCCTGGAGGTGGGAGAACACATCCCAGAGTCCGGCGAGAAGAACTTCCTGGACAACCTGGTCAAGCACGCCTGCGTGGGTGAGTCGCCCTCCCGTTGTGTACCTGCCACAAGGCTCAGGTGCTGGTGGGTCTTCCCCACACATGTTGCCCTGTAAACACAATGTGTGTTGCTCTTCTTTCCTCAGACATGAGCTCTGCTTTATCTCTGGTACATGAACCTTCTCCTTGACCTGCCACGACCTCTGTTACAGGAGTGGTGTTGTCGTGGGCGGTGCCGGGGCAAGGGGGACACTCCCACGTCAACTGCCGCTCCAACGACTACGTCAGGAAGGAGATGGCCGCCCGGGGACTGGAGTCGGATAAGCTCGCAGAGGTGAAGCTGCGGAAAAACGTCGACCATCTCACCTACCTCAAGAACACCCTCATGGTCTTCAGGTACCCCAAGAAGAGATGCTGAGGCCCGTTCCATCTCCTCCAACTCCTTCGAATCTAATATATTTGTATGCGAAAATAAGTGCCTAAACACCTGGCTTATCAACTCTGCTGAACTTCCAAGGGTGAAAAGATCTCAGTAATACTCCGTTTGACTGAAGTTTGACTATTGCTCCTCCAAGGTTCCATACTGTTATTTTAAATGTAAAGATTTTTCAATAAGGCTCCACAACTAGCCTTTCAAGCTACCGAGGACAAACTAACAATTTAAAACTAAATTAACAAAAAATCCTCAGAACTATATATAAACTGTGTTTACTGTCCTAACAGTTATGACCTGAAGTGACCTAAAAGCTTATCCATCAGTCCAGTCAACACGTTTATGATAAATAGGTAAACTTAGTTTACAATAGCCGCTGAAGATTAACAATTCAACCTTCTCATTTGCCAAATTTGCATCAACAAATAATCGGATCCTACAAATGTCATGGAAATCCAATTACGATAATTACTAACTGGCAAAAACTTTCAGAAGTGTAATTGATAAAAAACTTACACTAAGAAGTGCACAAACAGGTGCACAGACTCATCAGTGCACAGATATAGATTCATACACACACACACAAATTTACAAAACATGGCCATACAGGAGTTTCGAGAAGATTTGATCCCTGTTTCGCACTTCATTAAATCTTGCATTGCATGTTTCTAAAAATTAATTTTAAAATATTCCCAATTAAACTCATAATTAGTATTTTCCAGATTTACTATTAAATTGCACCATGGAACCCTGGTATGTCAGCATCACCTCCTGCTTACTGCACGAAGATGAGAAGGAATATGCAAATTGGAAAAATATGCAAATGTTATAAATATATATGTAAAATTGAGAAGTAAATATGCGAAGATTTAAAGTAAATATGGGAAGCAGAGGAATATGTATAAGAAGTGGAAACAAGGGTGTACCAGAGGACACGGCAGTTATGCAAGGATGCTTATTTTTAATTTACAGTATGTACAAATATATTTTTTAGGTACAACACTGGGGTGTTTCAATGTATTTAATCTCAAGTGAGTACAAAAACTAATTAATCATCTTCCAGAAATGTGTTAAATCCATAAAAAAAAAAAAAATATTGTTACTCGGTCGTAAGGAACTAAGACGATTAAGTCATTCAACACTTAACGCAGTCTCTCTTTGTTTGATTTATCACTTGTTCTAATTACTTCATATTATTTGTAAAAAATTAAAAATAAATATTTTTGCAAATACCGCGAACCCATTTCCGTGTGTGTGTTATTGCCGAGGTGTTTATGCCTGGTGTTCTCCTGGGGCGTCCAAGAGCTGTTTGGAGTTGTGTGTTAAACCCAGCAAATACATTCTATATATGACAATAAATATACTTTCCCATGTGGTGTTTTTCTTAACATCATGACAGAAAAACATGCAGACTCTCACTCTCCCTACCTCTCTTTGTTTCTCTCTCTCTGCCCAAGCACTGAGCTGGACGATAGAGGGATGGTTTCGTGCAGATCGGCGTTCAATCCCTGACCATCCCATCAAAAAATCCTTATCCTGAACCCTTCCATGTACTATAAATTCGTAATGGCTTGGCGTTTTCTTTTGATAGTTCCCTCCTCCTTCTCCCTCTCTCTCCCTCCCTCCCGCTCTCACCCCTCCTCTCTCTCTTCCTCTGCCGTACAGACCTTGAGGTCAGGGGCTACATGCAAACTGTGTATTCTCCAGAAATTAAATGATATATAAGAGCCAACCTGGCATAGAGGAGCGTGATGCGCTCTGGTTTAATAACGCGATGAAAGTCCAGCTTCTGGATAGTCGTAATCTGTCACTGAATTAACATTCTCCCTGCTATGGATAAAGGCTTGGGAATTCAATATTCTTACACAGGTAATTGACCTTAGCAACAAGGCAGTAATTTATGAGTAAATCTACCTGAACATTGTATCGAGTCACTGCATTTTCCCCAATTTGAACACATCGTGTTAACATTGACCAATGTGAACACTTAACATTGAGTTTAGGGTTGACTATTCTTATTAATTTCCTGCGAGTTATTTAATAGCCTATCTTACTGAGAACTTTATAACACTTATAAGTAGTAATTTAGGAGTGAATTACACCTTCATGTCACGAGGGAGGGGCAATGGGAAGAAATTTTGAGGATTACTTTTGTATACTCAATCAACCCATTCTTATAATAGTACACCACATTTTTATGTATCCTTAAGCTCAAAAATAGATGTGCTAAAAATGGTAGCGACTCGCAACAATTGACGTGATGTCCCGTTTTCAGTTTGTGCGTCCTCGAGTTGATTAGGTTCGGGCAGTTTACTATAACAGTTCAGTGACAGTGGGAATGGGAGGATGGGCTGTGTCAATTACTTCAAACAAAATTATTACTAAAGTAATATTTGCAATGAGTGCCATGAAATTATCTGAAATGACTTTTAAACCCATTGATTTTATCTGTTTTCATCTTGAACATAAATGAACACCAAAAACCACTTAAAATAAAGTACTTGAATAAAGTTAAATAAAAGGAATTGTATTACTCGGATACCAGTTCAAATTTTCGCTGCCACCTCCCTAATTACTGTTAGGTAAAATCTAAAATGGAAAATAACTCTGCTGTATTACCCATTTCGTCTACTTTGAAACCAAATGAACTTAACACAATTTTTAATTATAGAGCCACTAGTAAAAAATATAATATATTTAAATTAATCTTTATATTACAAACTTTAATAAAAGTGGTTAAGAGAATCTTTTTCTTTAACAGAACACTAATATATCATCCCATCCTCCTAAGATGAAAGTACTTACAGTAACTATGTGGTCAAAAGTACCAATATATGTTTTTTTTCTACCACAGACGTGGCCACACATTAACAATGCTAATCAGCATATATACATTTTCTTCTGTCTTCCATGGACAGGGTTAGAGATCTGTTAAATAAATAGTTCAGAAATTTATTGAACAATCAACCACAGAGGGTGATTGTAGTGCTTTTAAAATGCTAATCAAAGCTACAAACATAAATATATATACACACAAATAAACAGATCTGCATTTGACCTACATAGTGTTACTAAATAGTGTCATAAAAACACTGATCCAAGTAAGCGGAAAACCTCATGTGAAGACTTAGATAAAAAAATATATATATATATATATATATATATATATATATATATATATATATATATATATATATATATATATATATATATATATATATATATATATATATGTTGTACCTAGTAGCCAGAACGTCATACTCGGCCTACTATGCAAGGCCCTATTTGCCGAATAAGCCAAGTTTTCCTGAATTAATATATTTTCTCAATTTTTTTCTTATGAAATGATGAAGCTACCCGTTTCATTATGTATGAGGTCAGTTTTTTTTCATTGGAGTTAAAATTAATGTAGATATATGACCGAACCTAACCAACCCTACCTAACCTAACCTATCTTTATAGGTTAGGTTAGATAGCTGAAAAAGGTAGGTTAGGTTAGGTTAGGTAGGTTAGGTAGTCGAAAAACAATTAATTCATGAAAAGTTGGCTTATTAGGCAAATCGGGCCTTGCATAATAGGCAGAGAAGTGCGTTCTGGCTACTAGGTACGATATATATATATATATATATATATATATATATATATATATATATATATATATATATATATATATATATATATATATATATATGTCGTACCTAGTAGCCAGAACGCACTTCTCAAGCCTACTATGCAAGGCCCGATTTGCCTAATAAGCCAAGTTTTACTGAATTAATATATTTTCTCTAATTTTTTTCTTATGAAATGATAAAGCTACCCATTTCATTATGTATGAGGTCAATTTTTTTTTATTGGAGTTAAAATTAACGTAGATATATGACCGAACCTAACTAACCCTACCTAACCTAACCTATCTTTATAGGTTAGGTTAGGTTAGGTAGGTTAGGTAGTCGAAAAAACATTAATTCATGAAAACTTGGCTTATTAGGCAAATCGGGCCTTGCATAGTAGGCTGAGAAGTGCGTTCTGGCTACTAGGTACGACATATATATATATATATATATATATATATATATATATATATATATATATATGAATTAATGTTTTTTCGACTACCTAACCTACCTAACCTAACCTAACCTAACTTATATATAGGTTCGGTCATATATCTACGTTAATTTTAACTCCAATAAAAAAAATACCTCATACATAATGAAATGGGTAGCTTTATATCCAGTGGCTTATTAGGCAAATCGGGCCTTGCATAGTAGGCTGAGAAGTGCGTTCTGGCTATTTGGTACGACATTATATATATATATATATATATATATATATATATATATATATATATATATATATATATATATATATATATATATGTTGTACCTAGTAGCCAGAACGGCTGCCAGTTAAGGGAGAACGTTACATTATAAGTTGTAAGTAAGGGGAAATTGGCGCCCTGATATAAAATGAAAGAGTATCGTTTGCCCTAATGCAGATATGACCTTTTGGAAGGGACACTAGCCGATCGCGGATTGGCCGACTTAGGTCGCGGGCGACCAATCAGGGCCCACCATGACGTCACCGAGTGCCCCGGGCGGCGCCAACGTCAGAGTTGACCTGGCCTTGGAAGCGAGAGGACGCACCTCGGTCAGCTCTCAAGGATTAGAGGCTCTACAAGCCTTTCTTCGTGGATTAGCGCAGGCTATCGCAGCCCATCTGATGTATTGGAGACCCCGCGCTTCTGGGAAGCAAAAAGGAACCAAGTTTATTGAGTGAAAGAGTGCCAAACTTGGAAAATATTCGGCGACGACGCTGGACGTAGAGGGTCTGGAAAGGTGTGTCGGGCAAGCCTAGCTGTGACCAGGTCACATCCACTGAGGGTTTTGGAAGGACGACACCGTGCCTAGGACAAGGAGCAACGCCTTGTGGAAGGGGCGAGTGTGGGAAAATAGTGATTAGCTCAGCGCCTATCGATGAACCAGGATTGGGGTAGCTGAATCTCAGGGAATGGAACGGCGACGACGCGAAGGCTCCACGACACTTGAGGACCTGTGGAACGTTCCTGGACCATCAAGGATCGACTCAGGAAGCGTG